AAACGTCTTGTGAATCTGCTGTTTAGTTTTTCTCATCACACTAGGTGTTATTAAAATTTGCACACTGTCACATGAGTGTCCTAACATTTATGATTTATTACAATTCCCTCATTTTATTTTTCAGCTATTCCGAGGAGAAATGTGGTCACTATTATTACAATACCAAAACGAAACAGTCACAATGGGACCATCCGCTTGACGCGGTCTATCGTGAATTAGTTGAACAGGCGCGTCAAAAGCATGCAACAATAGTAGCCACACCTGTCATAGATAACTCCGACGATGCGTCGCAACTGGACTCTGGTATACGTAGCTTACAAGGCAATGATGAATGCGACAACACCAACAACACAAATGAAATGTCTTCACCTGTGAGCAACGTAAATGCAAACTGTACTGCAAGACCGGCCGCTGTTGGCCCGTTTGGTGGTAATGGTGCCGCTACTCCCAGCATTGTTGGTATAGGACTGTCGAGTAATTCAGGTTCGGTGTCTAATAGCACAAGTACCAGCGGATTTAGTGGGGGTGTGAGTCGATTTCTGGAATCGAGAAGCAAAAATTTTGGACTGACTTTTCAGCCAGTAAAAGGTTCACGTTTTGAGGTATCTAAAACAAATCCACAAATCTCGTTGGCTATGAAGTTTGGCGGCGAGAGCTTTTCCTCGAAGCTAGCGGCGGCAAACAAAACCGAAACAGCTTTAGGAGCAGCGTCTGGTGGCGTAGATAAGCGTGCTTTTGTTCTATCAGGTACTGGTGCCATGTTCCTAAAGTCACGAAAGCAAATGGAAGCGGGCTTGAATCAGGCCACTGCAGCCATGCTTATAAACAGCAACTCGAGTAACAACATCATTGTTGAAGGTGTGGCCGGTACACCACCGGGTGTGAAGGGCATATTGCGTGACTCAAGCTTAACAGATATGCGTCGAAGATTTGAGAAGGAGGATCCAGAAAATGGCGGCGCGGAGGATAAAAAAAGTGTGCGTTTCAATTTAGAAGAGACTAAAACACGCGGTTCCCCAGAAGAGGAGCCGAGCAGTTCACGAAAGCTTACACAAAGCCCAGAAGCGTCAGTTTACTCAGACGACGACGAAGCGGAAGAAGATCCTTGGGATGAAGATGATGACGATGATGATGATGAAGTTGATGCTTGTGCAGGATATGGCGCACTGGGCGGGGAAGGTGGAATACTTCGTAGTCGCAATCCATTCTTGATGAACGATGAAAAAAACATCAAGGACATACAAGTCATATCGGTACCAAAGGCACAAACTATACAAATGCTTAAAGCCCAAAGCCTTTCAATGGATCTACCAGAATGCGATCGTACAAAACTATCGGAGTTGGTGCGTCCACAAAGCACTGAATCTGGTAGTCTGCCACAGCCGGCATCTGTAGTGAGCTACCTGGAAAAACTAAAGGATAATTCTACAACTATTAAGCCCTTGTACGAAGATACAGATTCCGAGTCGAAGGGCAGTTCAGTGAGGAGCTTTATAATAAATAAATCCGAACAAGATTCGGTGAATTCGATAGTACCGGCGAGCAATCCATTTGAGGCGGAAGAGAGTGCACCAAAGACTAGTAGAGAAAGCGAACACGTTGAGGTTAAAACTATGCCAGAAAAGACAGCTTTGCGTACGTTTAAAGTGGCTTCGAAGCTTGTTGGATTCCTGAAAAAAGATACTAATAAGACTGAAGGGGAAAACGACAAGGAAAACGAAATTTTGAGACAAATGGCGGAGAGGGAAACAGAGGTATTGCTAAAGGAGGAACGTGAGCTTTTGGAAGAGCAACTTCAGAGTCAAATAGATGCNTGAAGGAGGAACGTGAGCTTTTGGAAGAGCAACTTCAGAGTCAAATAGATGCAATCAAGGCTGATCACGAACAAAAACTGAAGAGCATTCGTCAAGAGTATGATTCGCGATTGGCAGCACATCGCCAAGAATCGGAGCACACATTTCAGACGAGATTGAGTGAATATCGCGTGCATTTGGAGGAAGAGTTGAATATGAAACGGAAAGCTGTGGTTGACGAGCACAAAGCTCATATGGCTACGTTACAAAAGAATCACACCGAAATATTGCAAGACCTAGAACGAGACCTGAAAAGTGAAGAAGAAATAATTAAAAAGGAGCATGTACGTAAACAATCGGAAATGCGTGATAAACTAGCACATGAACTAGAACTGGAACGGCAGCGCATGCGTGAAACAGGCGAAGATAGACTGTACGAGAAGATGCGTTGTGAGAAGCGTTTACTGGAAGATAAGTACCGCTGTTTGAAGGAGAAGTATGTCCGCTTAAAAACGGATGTCAAGTTATCGTTAGAGCGACGAAATCGGCGCCGTGAGGCACAGGCACTGCATCAACAAAGCCTACACACGAACACCACTACAACGGGCTCGGAGACTGAGAGATCCATATCGAACAAACCGTCGATTGGAAACAGCGAGAATCGTTCGCTTTCACTGTCGACCTCTTGTCAGGAGCCAGGTGGTGCTAGTGTTGGCACAGTTCCCCACTTACTGCTAGCTGGTAAGGGCGCGAAGCCGCCGGTGCCACCGAAAACACATCTCACGCCTGTGTCAAACAGCAAGGAGCATGGTCAGGCCGCACGGGAACGCTCAAATGAGCGCACTCAAATGACGGGTATCCGCAAGCCAGGTATCGCATCGAAGTATATTAAACACTTGCAGGTGCAAGACGACACGACCACCTCGATCAGTCAGTCAGACACAACTATATCCAATAACTATTGCAAGGGACGCTACCTTCCCGCGCCAGTTTTAAGCGACAATGGCAACTCTGACTCAGAGGCTGCCTTCCAGTGTAATCAAGAGAACAACAACAATGCGCGTGGTAATGGACAACGTAAGAAGGTATTCTCTCGCATGAAGTCCGCATCCACGTCACGCCTCAACTCAGACAATTACAAGAACGATCGACCATGCACGCCTGTAGAGAATTTGCGGCACCAGCTACAGAAACTGGAAGATTTGGAAGATCAGTTCCCTGAAAACACACTCGACACCACATACCATTTGCGTTATCCATTTTCAGATATATCAAACGATCGCGCTGGTGCAGGAAACAGTTCGGAGCTTGAGTTCTTTAAACATCGCATTCACTTGGAGCGTGATAGTGTGCGACGTGCCAAAGAATCTTTACGCACACAACGCACTAATTTCCGCGCACGCCAACGTGAGATCAAACAGCGTCACAAGGCCTCTACCACGCGTCATTCACTGGATCAGCTCATACAAGAGGAGAAGGAATTGACTGAAATGGAAGTCAACTTGCACCGCACACGCGCCTTATTGGGCGAGAAAGTTATACGCTTGCGGCACTTGGAACAGAGTCTTTTGCGGATTTACGAGAAGGAAAAACCAACTATGGATTTACTCGGCATGGAGCAGAAAGACGATGCGACGCTGAGTGATCTCTCATCGCATTCAAGCTCAGGCTTTAGCAGTACTGATTTCGCTAGTGGCGGGGACACGACTAATTTACACAAGCGCAAGGAGACCTACCATCAGGAATCAACTGAATGCATACAAAATCTTGAAATTCTCAATGCAGAGATACGGGAAATTCTTGACATACTAGGAAAAAGTCAGCAACACGGAGGTAATGCAAGTAACCATACATAATATTTATATATTAGAATAATATATTTCCTACAAGGAAAATATTTTCTTTACTTTAAAAAAAATACTAGTATCAGCGGTAAGTGAACAGCTGTAACTATAGTGTCGCAGTGAAATCCGTCAGAGTAATCCAGGGATGGTAATTATTATAAGTAAAATAACTTAAATCAGAATTTTTTTCGCTCAACGGAAATAATTATTATTGATTTTTATACCCGAGCGCACTTGTGCACAAGGGTATATTAATTTTGTTCACATAACGGTTGTTTGTAACAGCCAAAACGAATCGAGATAGATATAGGCAAATGTATACATAAATGCTCAGAATGAATAGAGAAGTGGATTAAGCCATGTCTGTCTGTCCGTCCGTCTGTCCGTCTGCCCGTCCGTCCGTGTACACGATAACTCGAGCAAAAATTTAGATATCTCAACGAAATTTGGTATGTAGGTTTCCATTAATCCGACATAGGTTTGTATTGAAAATGGGCGAAATCGGACTGTAACCACGCCCACTTCCCATATAACGGTAATTTCCAGAAATACGAAAACTGCGATATTTTAGTAACTACTGAAGATAATTCACTCAAAATTGATACTTACAATGAGTTTCAGACGGAAAACATGAATATTAAAAATTTTTGGAAAATGGGCGTAGCCACGCCCACTTATGGTTACATGTGTATATCTTGGTAACCGCTGCACCAATTTCTTCCAAACTTGGCACAGTTGTTGGCCTAGGTACAGCATACCAATTGGCCGAAAAGTTTTAAAATCGTACAATAACCACGCCCATATCCCATATAACGGTAATTTAGAGAAATACAAAATCTTCGATAAATCACTAAATATTAAAGCTAATTTATTCATTTTATTATTTATGCTTGCAACAATTTTTTACCAAGAAATACGTTTGTGATAAAATTTTGGAAAGTGGACGTGGCACCGCCCACTTATGATCACATATATGTATCTCAGTAACCGTTACACCAATTTGTACCAAACTCGGTATGGTTACTGTGCTTGCCACGTAGAAGCAAAACTTTCAAAATTATTGAAATAGGACTAAAATAACAGCCGCTTTTCATATAACGGTAAATTTCAGAAATGCTTGAAACTGCAATATTTCGAAATTTAAGAACGCTAATTTACTCAAAATTAATACACCCGGCTTACCATGTAGCGGTAGCTTTCGGAAAGTCGAAAAAACATATATTTAATACTTGCGCCGGGTATTTAATGTTCGGCTCCGCCCGAACTTAGACTTTCTTACTTGTTTTTTTTTTCACTTAGAATAATTAGTCGCAATCAGCAGAAATTTTGACCTGCAAATTTTGGGACTTATTACTTTTATTAGAGTGTCGCTACCTCTGAAAAGAATATGTCGGAAATTACCCTAGTATAGCTTCTGAGTTTTTTGAATAATCATTACTCTTAAGTGAAAAAATAAAAATCAATAGCGAAAAAAGAAGAAAAATCATAAAATAATTATTTTTGATCGAAAAAAATAAAAGTCAGATTTTAATAATTATTTTTGATTTTTATTGGTTAAACTCGAAAAAGGATCAGTCCAGAGCCTTCGTCTTGACCTGGACACTCTCCGACACAGCCGCTAAACTTAAACGTAGAATACGCGATATTATCAGGGTCACATTCAAGTTAAAAACGGTACATGAAATATTCGTTTTGACTGTATTGAATTAAACTTAATAAATCAATTGGGGGACTCCCAATGGTGTCATAAGTGACGTATTGTTGTATGTCGTCAACTCTAAAAGCATAAATAAATGTTTAAAGAACTTGAAACTACAACCAACTATTTTTTAACACTGCGAAAATTCAAAATATGACTTTGATGGTACTTTGCGAACCCCCTTAATATATTTTTTAGGCATTTAAAGTTTACGACATACAACAATACGACACTTACGACACCGTTGTGAATACACCAAATATTAATTGAAAATATTAAGAATTAGCAATAGAGAAGCAGATCCACATTAACTTCAATCATATGTACCATCTGTTTATAAATAGGCATATAATACATATGCCATGACATGTATTACTACTTGGATTCATTTTTATTTCCTTTCATACTGCAGAAATTTTTATTACTTTTTATATTAGCCTAGGTCCCCGTATTACTATTCTTCTTCGTGTTCGTTCTCGTCTTCTCATTATCCACGTCTTCGAATTTGTGCATAATTTAGCTAAGACTTCTGAAACAGCTGGCAAACCTCCTAAATATAGTTAAAAAATAAAAAACTCTCGTGTGGCTGATATTGTGATACCTACAAATTTCATGTGCCTGATGAATTAAGTTAATTTTGCTTTTTTAAATGCGTGACAACTATTAGCGTTTTCTTTTCTCAAAAAAAGTTCTGCCCTTTTATATGGGAACTCTTGCTTTGCGTTGCCCTGAAACCTGGGAAAATGTTGCGTTTTTTATATGAGAATGAAACAGAAAATATACTACTCCATCACAATTTATTTATAGAACTTAATAAAGCGGAATTATTCACTTGGCCTGTAAGTCTTTAACAATTTTAAAGCAAAACACTTATTTCTGATAGGGAAAATAATTGCATTTTTACAAGATTAAATTAAAAATCAACCATGCAACTCTCACCCTCGCGTTTATTTGGGGGCAGAAAAGGCAGCACTTTCGCCGGATCAGAGCGCAACCTGCTGAGAAATGAACACGACGCCTTGTGAAAGGGCTGAGAAAAGAACATGAAAATGTGACAGCGCTAACACAAGGCAGAATAAGTGCAGCCTTTTTTCGAGAAAAGAAAACGCTATAAGGCATCCAATCCCGGACCATTTTGTGAATCCCGGGATTTCGGGATCTTAAATTGGTAATTCCGGGATCCCGGAATATTTCGGGATATAATTACCATTAATTAAAATATGCTAACAAACTAGTTTTGCAGTCTTTCTTTAGTGCGAATACAAGAAATAAAAATAAATTTGTGTTTTTAGGAAAAGAAATATAAATATCTTTATTTTATATCAGTTTAAAAAGCTAATTACAAACTGAATAAACTAAAAACTAAAAAATTGTAATTCATTCATATTGCAGACGAAGTAATTTTAACAGTTGTACCTTTTTAAGTTGATTTGCTTAGTAAAGACCAGAAAATTTGGGATATAAAATTACACCATCCTAATCCTTGTTTAATTCTCTATAAAAAACATGTTCCAAAAATTGGGAGTTTTTTAAGAACTATTTTTAAAATATATTTTTTTTATGACGAGGTGGTTTATTTTGTGAGAGTCAACAATGAAGTCTCTACGATGAACAGAACCCGAGATATAACAATTTGAAGAAGTACGTGATTAATTAGTCAGAATCACGAAAAAATCCAAAATTTGACAGATCATATGTATGCATATTCGAAGAAAAAAGGAAAAATATGAAGCCAATCGAAATTGTGACACCAAATTTGGTGTCCGGTATGAAAAAGAATGCCTCATATGTATGTTATATATGTATATTATAACACAGAATAATAGTGGTATTAGAATTGTAATATATTATTTGATTATTTGTAGGGTTGCATTTTATAATCCTTTTATTTGTAGGGTTGCATTTTATAATCCTTTTATGCCAGTGTCTGAATGTCGTTTTATTTTAATTTGGTAGTAAATTAAATTATATCTCGGGATCCCGGTATCCCGAGGGCTTGATCCCGGTTTTTCGGGACTTCAAAAAGGGCGCGGGACTCCCGGGATTCGGGATCCCGAATCCCGGTACTAGATGCCTTAGTGAGAACGCTCCTAAATACAGTTCAGAAATAAAGCCTTTTTAAAACCATTTCGTTTGATACCCATATTTTTTAAACAGGTGGCAACCCTCTTAATTATTCTAAACATTCAAACCAAGGATATCTTGCCACCTTCGTTTCACGTCATATTTTAATATTTCATTTAGCTTATGCTTACTTTAATTAAATTCTAATTTTAAAACATATGGCAACCCTATTCAAAGTATTTTAAAACCAAAACCTTGTAAAACCTTTTTCGACTGTCACAAATATTCAGATATATTCAGATAGATATTCAAATATACTCAGAAGAAAATATCTCTAACCCATGCCAATTTATACCCATGCTTTAATAATTCATTTGATTTATTAAATAATTTGAGTTTAACTTTTTCCACAGGTGGAAACCTTCTTTAATGTTATAAATTCTCAAACTAAATATTTCTTAATAATTTAATTTAATTCGACTTTTCAAACATATGGAAATCCTGGCAAATTATTTTTAAACCAAAACCTCATTAAACCTTTGTTTCTAACACTTGTATTGTGATACATATTTAAATTATCTATTTCTCTTAATTAAAATTGAATTTAATTATAAAATCAGGTGACGACCCTGAAAATAAAGCTTCTTCAAAGCATTTTTGATTTACATATATTCATATTGAAGTAATTTATTTGACCTATTGTTTATATTGAATCTAAGTTTGTAACAAAGTGGCAACCCTCTGCAAAATATTTTCAAACCACAACCTCTTTCGTCGGACATCCATATCAGGATAAACATTTAATTTTGTCTGCCTTTATNCAAACTGTATATACTGTTGAAAAAAATATAGTACGGGAAACTACTACATTTATTTTATTATAGAAATATATATATTTCAGTAATTTGTAAGATAATATGTGTTTTAAAATGGATGATTTTTATACTGAAATAACAATATTAAAAGAAATATTCTTCAAAATAAAAGGTCTTGGTGAGTTTATGAATAGAAAAACAGATCAAAAATGGAAACATTTTTAAAAATACTGATAATGAATTATCAAATTTACTTAAAATTATTTCATTTCTACTCTCAATTCTTGCTACTTCGGCATTCACTGGAAGAGTCTTTTCTGTTATGAATGTGAAATGGCGAGACGAGAGAAACAAAGCGATTAGCGCACGAACGAAAAATTATTTTGATTATTTTGATTTACATTAATTTAA